TCAGTGACCTTTGATGACATCGGCTCACTTTTTCGAGTTTTACATGTTTCTAGGCCAGTTTTTGGAGCTGAATTCGAATTCAGCAACCATATGAACATTTACGAAATAGTTTTACCCTAATTTGATAGGTACTTTACTGCTCCACTCGTGCAGCCGGAGTGAAGGTTTGTATATTGCTGATGTGGTTCCGTAAATATATATTACCTAAACCGCGAGTAGGTAGAACTTAAACGTCGAGCCGATGGTGATAGGTGAGACGTTTAAAAGGTTTTTCTACCTACGAGCGGTTTCATGATTTTATCCCGTACCGCCGATATGTTTCGGGCGCTTAAAGGTAAAAAATGCATATACCTTATAGTTTGACAGTTTGTTAATCGTCTCAAATAAGTTAACCCTCGCCGGACCTATTGGTTTTCTACATACGCGCCGGCCGAGGGGGGGGGGGGGCGGGTACGACCCCCCCTCGCCGTTTCGCCCCTGGTGGAGCTAGCGCGTCGCGGAAAAAACGAGCGTGTGCGCCGTTACGAGACGCAGAGATTGGTACCCAATTTTAAGGTCCTAGGTCAACCGGTGACCTCTGAGGTCAGGTCAAGTGCCCAAAGGTACGGTTCAGTTTTTGGTGAATAACTTCGCAAAAAACGGCCGCAGAGCGTCGATTTTGGCAGCATCGTGTTTGTCTCGCTCAGGCGCGTCGAATTATATACTTTTTGTCCGGGTCAGGTCAACTTGGGGTGTTGACCTCAGGTCAAGGTCAGGTCAGCACCCCCAGGTCACGAAGTTGGTCGAAAGAGGTCATGTCGCATATCATTCGATTCGGCAGGTCTTCCTGAGTCCATTGGTGGCTTTCCCGACTCGCTAGCTCAATTTGATCAAGAGTTATTGACGAAAAACTAATATGACCTTGATGACGTCATAAATGACGTCATGCAAGGTCAACATTGCAAAAGTGACGCATCTAACCTTGCAAGGAGTGCATAAAATCACGATTCTGTGTGCTTGAGATAGTTGGAGATCGTTCCCAGCGCCAGAATAGCAGTTTTCATTTTTCCCCATTGACTTATAATGGTGAGGTCACGAAAATGACCTGACCTCATATGACCTTTAGGAAAAATCCGAGATATACAAGCTGTGGGACTCATAATGGATACTAGATCCTGCAAGTTTCATTTCCCTGTGACATCTCCTCTGGTAGTGAGGGCGTTGCGAAGTTGCGACATCTGAAGACCGTGCAGAGGTTCACTTATGACGTCATAGGTCAGTGACCTGACCTGACCCAAAAATGCGGTTGGTGTCAAAAGATGCGGCTTGGATCAAAGGTCAGGTATGCCAAGTTTCAGCGCTCTATCGCCAGCGTGTTTGGAGCTATCGCGAAAAAAACCTATGGGGGGGCGGCACCCGCCCCCCCCCCCTCGGCCGGCGATAACATCTGATAATTTTCTCTCTTTGCGGGATAATCTTCTTTATACACTCCTCATGATTCGAATGTAGTGTTCATTTCACGGCACGGGCGTAGGAACGTCATGAAAAGTGGGTGGGCCACCCTGTCAAGGGGCCTCCTTTTCCAGGGGGCCTCCTATTTTCAGGGGCCTCCAACTTTTGCCTCGTCCTGCTGGCTGCTTTCAAGTATGACCTCCAAATCTAGCTTCTGAGATCGGGCAGATGTACCCAGGGGCGTAACCGCTTAAGCGAACAGTGCGGGAAGTCCGCACCATTTTTAAACTTATTCCCCCTCCGATTTTTTTTTTTAAGAATCTATTTGCCGCAAACGCCGCATGACCCCTGAAAACCCTTACACAAATGTCTTCCTCGTTTCCCAGGTGCCCCCATTAGCTTCATAGGCGCCCTCTTTGGTATATAAGCGCCCTATGTATAGTCATTAGAGACATCCTATATGTCCCACAGTCGCCCCGCTGCATTGTCGCATACAATGTATGTATGTATGTATTGTATTCATAAAAATCTCCACATCGTGGCTCTTCCGATTTCAGAGTCAGTACAGTAGTTCAACACAGTGGGCATGTTCATATAACACGAAAAAATGATGGTTTAAAAATCACTATGAATTGCTAAAATGCGATAAAACTGAGCACATCTACTCCCCATGTCTCGCGATCTACCTCCGTGGGTGACTCAATAAACGACTCCTCCTGAGCTCGGCTGGCAGGCGGTTCCAGGCGGTGGTAGCCCGGCACATAAATGCCCGGCGAGCGAGTTCTGTGCGCACGCGTGGCGTTTGCAGCAGCATACTCTCCGATCCCCGCGTGGTCCTTTCTGATACATCTGAACGGGACACAATCATTGTGCGGAGATGCTCAGGCGACTCAGGTGACCCCAGAATCCGACAGAGTGCCGCCAAGTCACATTTAGTAATCAGCTCATCAATTTTGAGCCATCCCAGTTCTTTTAAAGCGGGAGTAATATGCTGAGACCTCTTTAGTCCGGTGATGATCCTGGCACCAAAATTTAGAACTTTCTGGATCCTATACTTTTGGGTTTTGGTGCAGCCGCCCCAAACGGTCAGACAGTAAGTGATGTGGGGATAAACAAGCCCTTCGATGATAACTTTTTTGGTCTCGTGTGGTAGTCGGTGGCTCAGCTTTGCAAGTCCCACCAACATACCATAACAGCGCCTGATGACGGCAGATATCTGGAGGTCCCAATTGAGATAAGAGTCCAAAGTTATGCCAAGAACCTTCACAGAAGGAGAAGGACTGATGAGCTGTTCCCCAAAATGAATTTTAAATGTTTCGTTGATGTCTAAGTGAATTCGCTTGGATTTCACGACCAAGAGATCTGTTTTTGAGGGATTAATTTTTAAACGATTTTGAGTAAACCAATTCAAAACAATTTTGAGCGTGTTCTCTACTCTAGTACGGAGGTCACCCACGTTGGCCGGAGCATCCGCATCGATAAACTGCGCGTCGTCGGCATACATGATGAGCTGTCCGTGGCGAATAAAAGAAGGTAAATCGTTGGTAAATAGTAAAAACAAGATCGGTCCCAAAGTACTCCCTTGGATTACGCCATGTGTCACCACTACTGGCGTTGTACACCCCGCCACACGCTGCGTTCGGCCTTCGAGCCAACCGCGGAACCAATGGTCATCTACACCATACCATCCGAGCTTTTCCAGGAGCCGGCAATACTGCACGCTGTCAAACGCTTTGGACGTGTCTGTCGTCGTCAACGTGGAGACGAGGCCACGGTCCATGCTGCTGACAAGCCTGTCAACAGCGCACAGCATCGCCGACTCCGTGGAAGCCTCAGAGTCACCGGTGTGGGGCCTTCAGAGCTCCGAGATACTGGTGTGGGACCCTCAGAGGTGTCGGTATGGGTCCTTCAGATGTACCTATAGAGCCTTGAGATGCACAGGTGTGGTGGCCCACAGAGGCGCCGGTGTGGGGCCCCCAGAGCCACCGATATAGGGCCCTAAGAGACACTAGTATGACCCTCAAAGGCGCCGCTGTGTGGCGCTTATAAACACTGGTGTGGAGCCATCACAGGCGGGTGGAGCCGTTAGAGGCCGGAAAGGGCCCTTAGATGCCTACAAGGAGCCTTCAGAAGCCGGCGTGGCACCCTTCTGGGGATAAGCGTGTCTACTTAGGAGCCCTTGAGGTGCTCTCATGAGCTCTGTGGGGCCCTACCGAGCCGAAATATGGCCACGGCCAGTTGCCGCCGCATGGCTCTTCGGACTATCATTCTCATGGGCCTCATCTGCCTAGTTTGAATAGAAGGGTCTCTCAGACCATCAGTCTCATGGGCCTCCTCTGGCTAGTATAAATAGAAGGGCCTGTTAGACCATCAATCCTAGGGGCCTCCTCTGGTTAGTATAAATAGAAGAGTCTCTCAGACCATTAATCTCAGGGGGCTCCTGTGGACAGTATAAATAAAAGGGCCTCTCAGACCATCAGTCTCGGGGGCCTCCCTAGAAAAGTGTAAATGTGGATAGAGGGCCCCTCAGATTCATTAGGAAAGGACCTCTCTGACTATCAGTCTTAGGGGCCTCTTGTGGCCAGTATGAATATAAGAGCCTCTCAGACCAGCGGTCTCAGGGGCCTCTTCTGACTAGTGTGGATAGAGGGCCCTCCCAGATCACCGGTTTCAGGGGCCTCTAGTGGCCAGTTATATGAACAGAAGGGCCTCACAGCCATCAGCCGTGGGGGCCTCTTCTGACTGGTGTGAATATGAGGGCCTCTCATACCATCAGTCTCAGGGGCCTCCTCTGCCTAGTGTGAATATAAGGGCTTCCCAGGCCATCAGTCTCAGGGGACTCTTCTGACTGGTGCCGGATTGAGGGACCTCCCAGACCGAAAGTTTTGGGGGTCTCCTGTGGCCAGTATGAATAGAAGGGCCTCTCAGGCCATCAGTCTCATGGGCCTCTTCTGCCTGGTGTGATTATAAGGGCCTCTCAGGTCATCAGTCTCAGGGGCCTCCTCTGACTACAGTGTAGATGGATAGGTCTCCCAGACCATCAGTCTCAGGGGCCTCTTCTGACTATTGAGGATAGAGGGGCCTCCTCTGCTTAGTGAGGGTAGGGGGCCTCGGCTAGACCGCCAGTGTCAGGGGCCTGTTCTGACTAGTGTGGATGGAGGGGCCTCCCAGACCACCAGTCTCAGACCTCTGACTAGTGTGGATAGAGGGGCCTCCCAGACCGCCAGTGTCAGGGGCCCCCAGGCCCCCAGACCAGTGTGGATATTGGGGCCTCCTCAGATCCACTAGGGCCTCTCAGGCCATCAGTCTCAGGGACTTCGACTGACAAGTATGAACAGAGGGCCTCCTTGGATCCATCACGGCCCCTTGGAGTCCGTGCGTGTGGATTCGTAGAACTTATTTTTACCGAGTTTGTTTATTCTGGAAGTTGACGACGTCCTCTCAAATCGAGACGAGGGGCCTCGAGTAAAAAGTGGGTGGGCCAAAACACATGGTTGGCCCCCCCACCTCGAAAAGTGGGTGGGCACTTGCCCACCTGGCCCCCCCTGTTCCTACGCCTATGTTTCACGGACATTTTAGGAATGGCTTGACCACACACTTATAGTTTCAAAACGGTATACTAGGTGGCGCTCTAAGGCGCCACCGGCGCAGGCTGCTCAGCTGTTTGTCGATGTTTGTGTTTGTTTGTGTGTGTCTTGGTGTGTGTGCAGTGCACCAAACGCATGGTGGTGTCGGTGTGTCTCGGTGGTGTAGATCAGGAATGCTGTGAAGGTTTATCTTGATTGAATAGGCCTTCAAGTGAATCGTTACATAAAAAAAAATCAATTCTGTTTTTGTACCATGCCAGAAATAAAGGTGACGCCTTTGGGTAAGTGAATTATCTTTTTTTTACATTTGACGCATAGTTATTCAATGTGTAAGTGATTTCCTCCTATTGTGGGCTTTGTCCAGGGATATCAAGAAATAAAGAAATACCTAAATATTTATGAAGTGCTTATGTGTGTGCAGTATCCAGTCTGTATCCAGAACAACTGGATTAGAGGGGTGGTTCGTGAAACTTCAACAGATGAAAATATGAGCTGTGGTTGTTTTATGCCAATCGTTGTAAATTCATTGCGTTCCTTTGATATTTGATAGAGGTGTTTCACTGTTCCCAAATTGTTGACACTTGCCTCTGTGTCATGCAGGTGCAGGCCAAGATGTTGGAAGGAGCTGCATCCTCGTCTCCATCGGCGGCAAGAACATCATGCTGGACTGTGGAATGCACATGGGCTACAATGATGAGGTGCCTGTCCAGTGACTAATGCCTGGGTCACATTACTGATGTAGTTAAAATAACTTACTTTGCTGGGAGGTATCAGTAGTGGAACCCAACCAAGAAGTCATGTCCCATGCCTATCTACAAGACAAATTTCACCTGAATAAAATACAGCCTAAACAAGCTTTTCATTATGTTCTGGCTCTCAAACTGATATTATAAATACATCTCATCACTCATCATATTTTGTTTCAATGCATTTAAGCTAAATGTGACCAGAAGTACTTTTGGGACATGCTTCATATCTTGACTATATCAGCTCAAAATGTTTGTGCCACACATCAGACACTTGTAGAACACCCTGCACAGTCATACTAGAACAGTATAAGTAATTAACAATTTTGCCATTTTCTTACGCTAACACTGCTGGTCTGTCTCACACAGAGGCGTTTCCCGGACTTTTCCTACATCGCCGATGGCTCGCTGACGGAGCACCTGGACTGTGTGATCATCTCACACTTCCACCTGGACCACTGCGGGGCGCTGCCCTTCATGACTGAGATGGTGGGCTACTCGGGGCCCATCTACATGACCTACCCGACCAAGGCCATCGCGCCCATACTGCTGGTAAGGCGCGTGCAGCGTGGGAGACGATGGGGAGCATTGGGTCAACTTACAGGACGAGAGTGACGAAAGTGTCGAGTTTCAATTGAGTAAGGGTTAACCTTTTATTGCATAGGATAATTCTAACTGTACCCGGCAGTCGGATCTGACGAATACTCTAAAGCACAGACTGCTCTGCATTGCTAGCTAGTAGCTACCCCTTCCTAGGTTCGCTCTCTGCCCCTTAAAGCCGTCTCTGATCATGGGCCGTATTCACGTCGATCATTTTCGTAAGAATTTTCTTACGCATGACCTACTTCTGAAAATTTTGTCGATTCACCTGAACTCCGTCGGAAAAAAGCTTTAAGAATTGTCGACGTGAATACCAAATTATACGTACGAAAGAAAATCGACTTACGAAGTCGACGTGAATACGGCCCCATGTCTGACACCTGATCTGTGGACGTGCAGGAGGACATGCGGAAGGTGGCGGTGGAGCGGAAGGGGGAGTCGTCCACCAGCTTCTTCACGTCACAGATGGTGAAGGAATGTATGAAGAAGGTGACGGCCGTGAACCTGCATCAGACCGTACAGGTAAGGGTACCGAGAGCGGCTGGCAGAACTTGGCGCTAATTAATCTACGTGAGATCGTGCATCTAATAAATATGTGAGACCGTACTGACTTGCGCGAGGCCAGGCAGAGACGCAGAGGGTGGTGCCATCTGGGTGTCTGGTCCAGCGGCTTGGTGTGGTAGGTGGCGCTTTGCTGCAGGAACTCTGACTTTGTGCGACAGAAATCGCGGATTTCATGCTTATACGCCTGAAATCTGCGACTTATACTAACTATAGTTCGTAGTGTAGCTGGTATAATGCCCGCGTGGGCCGCTGCGGATTATTAGGTGCAGGACGTGTCCGTCGGTTCCCTGGATGGGTAGCTTCATAGAGCTGAATCAATCAGACAATGAGGTCATTGTATGCAGCTTCCATTTGTCAACATAAAGTGCCGTTTGCTGTCACGGCGTCACCCCACTGGTTTTCTGGAGGCACATGACCAGTTACGGTGGCCGGCCCTCCATCACCGACTGTTTACATGCCCTGTCTGTGCCTGACTGTTTCCGCGCCCTGTCTGCGCCCAGGTGGACAGTGAGATCGAGATCAAGGCGTACTACGCCGGCCACGTGCTCGGAGCGGCCATGTTCCATGTCCGTGTCGGCGACCAGAGCGTCGTCTACACGGTGGGTGAGCTGCCGAGTCCGGTCAGACTGTGAAATAAATGCTGACATCTCTTTATAATCGTTGTGTTGTGTTTGATGGCTACTTAATTGCGATTGGGATCATTCTTTTACGAAAATAGCTTATTTTATGGATGACTGAACACAATATCTGGTGTTCGTTTTTATATGCGTTACAGCTCCCGTTACGCACTTATTTGTGGCTTGCTAATAATAATGACATTTGTTTGAGATGCAATCTTTTACAGAGTGAACTGAGTTTCGTTTGAGCACTAATTTCCCTTCATATCCTCATTTTGAGCTCTGATCCCATGAATGGTGAGCAGACTTCGTAATATCGTTTGGTGATCTGCGTCTGCGTTCGTCGCTCGATTAATGTGTGACCTGGCCCCGCAGGGCGACTACAACATGACGCCGGACCGTCACCTGGGCGCTGCCTGGATCGACAAGTGCTGTCCCGACCTGCTTATCACAGAGTCCACCTACGCCACCACTATCCGTGACAGCAAGCGCTGCCGAGAGCGAGACATCCTCAAAAAGGTAAGACGCTGGCCGAAAGTCTGACGACGCTCTGACACAGTGACGGTCGACGGAAGATATGCTGCGCAAGATAGTTGTCTGACGATGCGTGAAGTGTGAGAGTTGGAGGTGATACCATTCATATTGTGGCACTGCCATGATCCATGATCATGCTCTTATGCTGGGCGTTTGGTTTTTAAATCGTTCATATTCAACATGTGTCGTTGGTTCTCCTCATATATTGCCTGCCCTAGTTTCTTTTGGTTTTCTCTTGCTTCTCCTTAGCTTCGTTGACTTACATAGTTGACAGCATTAGCATTCGGACGATAAATATAGCATTAGCATTCGGACATACTTAGTCCTTCGACCCTTATCACTCTGACCCGGTAGGGCCCGCTGATCGACAACCCCAGAAACCAAAGATAACCCCTCTGTGATGTTTTTCCCTGTGACCTACTATCCCTTTCCATCCTTTGACCCCATGTTCTGTCTGCCAGGTCCACGAGTGTGTGGAGCGCGGCGGCAAGGTGCTGATCCCGGTGTTCGCGCTGGGACGGGCCCAGGAGCTGTGCATCCTCCTGGAGTCCTACTGGGAGCGTACCAACCTCAAAGTGCCCGTCTATTTCTCGTTGGGACTGACTGAGAAGGTAGGTGGGCCGTACAGCCTTCGGGGAAGCCGGCTAATGAGACCGTGGCGGTTGGACATTGCTCGGGTTTTAGCACTTCACCGCACTGTGATCCACATAGTGTTTGCGTTGATTCGTGTGACTCATAGAGCGACGTTATAGGCATAATGCGTCTGGATGAGTCTTGTACATCACTTTGCTGTTTTGTACCTGTACTTATTGTAAGACGCATGCTATTTATAGCTTCAAGCGGTGTGAATTCAGTGGGAATCTCGCCTGACTCGTCTCCGCACTTGCAGGCCAACAACTACTACAAGATGTTCATCACATGGACAAACCAGAAGATCAAGAAGACGTTCGTGGAGCGTAACATGTTCGAGTTCAAGCACATCAAGCCGTTCGACAAGTCTTACATGGAGAACCCGGGCCCGATGGTGGTTTTCGCCTCACCCGGCATGCTGCACGCCGGCCTCTCGCTCAACATATTCAAACGATGGGCGCCAGATGAAAAGAACATGGTGAGTGAGCCTTGTGGCAGGTTACTCTTGTCTGTGTGCGGGCCCGTGATCACAATGTGTTTACTTGCTTACCGCTTTTTCAACAGCGGCTGGGGAATATGTAATGTTGCGTAACTGGGTGCCTGGTGACCACTTTGACCCGATCACAAGCTCCATTTGGGAGGAGTGGTGAAGTAACTTTTCGGGTGCACCGAACTCTGATAAGTGTTGTAGACATGGTGACCGAAAAACAAAACATCGCGAAACGAAACAACAGTCGTTGATATGATCAAACTCCCCAAGAGGATGACAACGAACTGTTGCATGCAAATGGGCCAATGTTTCGAAACGTGAACCTTTTTTTGGTCGACGTTGCCTTTAAACTACATGTATATTTCGTCATTTTATTGGTACCTAGTGGTTTTATTCTGTGTTATAAAAATGATGTGTTGTCCTAGCTATGCTATTTAAATATAGCTATATTTTATGTGATGCATTTTTTATTTCTTACCTAATTTCTCTTTATGTTCGATGTGCTCTTCCCTGTACCCAGTATAACCAATTCCCGCTCTCCCTCTGTGTGTTTATACAGCTCATCATGCCGGGCTACTGCGTGGTCGGCACTGTGGGCCACAAGGTGCTGAACGGCGCCAAAAAGGTCGAGTTCGAGAACCCCCGTACGGTGGTGGATGTTCGAATGGCCGTAGAGTACATGTCTTTCTCGGCTCACGCGGACGCCAAGGGCATCATGCAGCTGATCCAGTACTGCCAGCCCAAGAACGTGATGCTCGTACACGGGGACGCGGAGAAAATGGTCTTCCTCAAGTCCAAGATCCAGCAGGTTGGTCTGGGAAGGGGCAGGGCATCAGGTTTACATAGACAGGCTCACGGCATAGTGCTTGATCTGCAGGTGTCAGTGCGAGTGAAGTGGTGGAAAACATAACATCCCAATTGCCCACATTTCCTATAATACTTGTAAAAGGCCGCCGTCCACTGGTTAGACGCGCACATTTACGCGCTGAATTTAACATTGGAGTCTATGGGTTGCGCGCCGAATGCCGTTTCAGCGCCTAAAGCACGATGAAGCGTTGTCAGCTGATTATTCATCGGCTGGTCGGCGCTGAATTACTCGCGTATTCGACGCTCACGAGATGAAATATTCCAACTTTTCAGCGCGTCCTTGACGCGCATACGCCGCGGCGTTTTTATCATCAATCGGGTGTTTTGTTGATATTTAAAACATTTGAAAAGCATTTTTGAGATGAGGTTAGTGTTGCTAATATTTTGAGTGTGGCAGTGTGTGTGTTCTGTGTTTCATCATCTTCCTACATCTCCAGAATAGCATTAAATGAGCTGGTAAGGTAGGTCAGGTGCAATGAAATCCAATCTTCCTCTTTTCCTAAGCATAAATATGCATTAATTACAAATAAAACTTTGCCATATATTAGGTGAGTTTCGTGATAATAGTTTTTCTTCCTTGAAAATATATGTTTATAAGGCATTTCAAGCCTGATATGTTTAATATGTTTGGTTTTGTGGATGCTTGACCTACCTACTTTTTCTAAAGTGAGATCAAGATATTTTGAATGCTGCATATATGTAGCTAGCATTTTCCATCTCCTTTTGAAGTTTGTTTCATATAAGGGTACTGGTGCAGGGGGAAGCGGGAGTCTAGATCCTTAAGTAACTTTGTTTCCGCAACGCAGCAACTCAAACTGCTGCACATGCTACAAAATGACCATTTTTTGCTACACGATTAAATGTAAGCCATGCAAATCTGTGCATTTTTGGTTGAAATGAACCCTCATTCCCAAAACCATAGCAAAGTTTTTTTAGGGACAGGTGTTTTCCATAATTTTGGTTAGGATGTAGCTTGGTTTCAGGGTTGTAGTTTTTTTTTTTGGTAATAGTAAAGCAGATGTTACACTTGTTTTTTGCAACCAAGGAGTGTCGCTCTAGGTTAGGTTGTAGATCGTAGGTAAGGTTAGGTCAGGTTTGGTTAGGTTTGGTTTGGTTTGATAAGGAAGCATCTCTGGGTACGGCGCCTCTCCTTGGTTGCAAAATGAAAAAAAAACAAGTGTGATGCCTGCTTTACGACTGCCGTTTTTTATATTTGTGCCTGGTGTACCTTCATTGTCCTGTTTTGTGCCAGACTGAAAAAAATCCATACACTGTGCCGAATGTCTCGGGCTTTCATGAGCCGATATTGTGTGGCTTTGGATGAACATTTGGATGAACACCCATCATCGACATGGTTTATGATTCAAAAGCGTAGGGAGTGAAGTTAGCCAAGGTTACCTAGGTCTTGTGTCTTGTGCCAAAATTTCTTTGTCCATCCGTATGGCAGAATTTTTGGGCGCACAGAGTTACGCTGGATACTGCACCGAAATTTCAGCTCAATCCGCCCGTTACGCCAGACATGTCGATGATACCATGAATTTTTTTCAGTCTGAGTTCAGTGTCTGCCTTGTGCCTTCTGTGTCCTGCCCTCAGCCCTGTATCCTGCTATGTACCATAATACTCCCGAGCTTTCTGCAATCGGTCTGTTTGATGTTCCCTGATTCAGGCAGTGTATCGCGGATGTACATGGGCCTCTGTTAGCAATGTGACATGATCAATCCCATTTTTCAGCTCTACAAGTGACACCACCTTAGTTGAAGCCGTGAGACGTCATGACGTGCTCTGGCGTCCTCAGGACAGCAACTACTTTAACAGAAATAAGAAGAAGCTAGCATGGGAGGAGGTGGCAAAGACCACTGGGAGATCAGGTAAAACTTACGCATCATATTTTGCTTGTACGTGTTGTAAATGGTGCCAACAGCCACAGGCTCTGCCACGTTTTTAGAATTGGGTTCTAAGCTTTAAAATGCGAACCCTTACACATCCGTGGTGCTTGTATAATTGTGATGTCTCTCAGGTAACAAACACATGTCGCTTGACAAAATAAATTTTCAAGGCTCTCACCAATTTTATTCCCTGCTTTTCAGTTCAGGATGCAAAATCGAAATGGAAAAGTCTGCGTGACTACCACCTACGCAAACGCAGGCAATTGCCAAGTGGCTCTGGCTGCCCGCCACCAGAGAACTCCTCCTGGCAAAAGGAAATGTCATTTTTGGATGATGCCATCAAGCCTAAACCGTAAGTTAACTGCAGTAGGATGTATGTCCTGGATTTTAGTGCACGTCCTGGATCTTTGCATTAGGACATAGAGATGAAAAGTCTTTTTTCAAAAATGTTGTATTCCAGTAGCACAGATCTTGCACATTGCCCAGTAGTGCTCCATTACTGGAGCAATAAGCATAAGCAATAAGCTTCACTGTCGTATTAATTAGTTGCTGTGCTGACTTCTGAGTTTTTTTTTACCCCTCCCAGTCCATATCACTTTTCCATTAGAAAACCTGTTGTATTCCTGTCATGTATCAAATGCTACGTTCCTTCCTTTCCTATGCAGGGTAACGACAAACTTGACGCAGCCTGGAACAGGATCGCAATCCTTATTCTACTACACAAACCAATACTCCAATGAGGTGTGTAAAGTGATTTCTGGGTCACTCTAAATGATGATCCATATCCGATCTTGGGCGTTTCATGACTCCTTTCAATGCAGTGATTTCGTTGGAAATTAATAAAGCAATGCCGTGACATGCAACAGGCCTGTTCTAGCTGTTTACATTGATTGTTTTTTCTTGTTTGTTTGTTCATTTGTTTTTAACGAACAGTGTTGCCAAGTTTCATTTAAAACCTTTTGGTCATCATGCACCTTAACAATCGCCTCCTCAGGCCCATTGTTATTCCCAGACTCCGCCCTGTAGAGGAGCTAGTAAGAGGGTCTCTGCCCTGTTATTTACGAGACTACTGGACCAGTTTTCAAAGCCGGTCGAAATTCGAAATGCCCAAATGTATTCCTGATTGGAATTCAGCTCCCAAATAAAGGTTTTTGTAAGTTTTATAAAAGTAACCGAGATACGTTTTTGATATACTCGCAAAAAACCAGCAGCAGGGCGCAGATTAATCACTAAGATTTGAAAAGGAACTTACGTGACCTGGGGTCAAAATTTTCAAAAACGATGCGAAATTGATGTATCATATGCTATACCATGTTTCGCGGCGCTGCGCGCCGCGGTTTTCTTGAAGCGCGCAAACAAAACTGGCAAGTGTGGCCAAAACACGGGCACTCGGGCGAAGGTTAAGTACAGGGGTCAAAAGAGATCCAATGCTAATTAGTGTTATTGCGGCTGTTTAATCGTGATTTTCGGGGCGTTTTTCAAAAATGTTAAATTCGGAAGAATTCGGTCTAGGGTGTTCGGAAGAATTCGGTCGTAGTCAACATCCAAACGAACCTTGCAATTGGCCGAATTTCATTTTCTAACCATTTTTGGTGACCTATCAAATATCTCGCATCAATCTTCACTCACGTAATCATCATGTGTTTCAGCTTTGTGTGTCTGATGAGGACAGCAGCGAGACTCAACTACCAGACGACAGTGCTGGTGAGTTTGTTCAAATGGTATGCAGCCATCATAGCATAATACGAAACTGCCACTGGTGGTTGACACCTGTAACTACGGATAGCCGACATGGCGCCATCTGGTTAAACTGACCTGACTTGACCTACCCCAAACGCATAAAGACATAATCTTAAATCAAAACTTACATGAAATTCGTCATTAGGACTCCGAAAAGCATAACCTCGTCATTTGACAACAACGTAACAAACGAGGACTCTAGTGTCTATCAGTGCCTGTAAGCCAGTCATACATCGATCTGAGCCTAGGACGGCGTGTATTTTAACTGCTCGTCTGTAAGCCACGATGATCTAACTGTGGTGTCCTGGTTGCCACCAGCAGCGAGCTGTGCCTCAGGAGTCCTCCCAGTTGCGACGCTCCTCGGAGGGCCTCGGATGTCCGCGGTGCCACCAGCAGCGAGCTGTGCAGTCAGTTCAGGAGTCCTCCCAGCTGCGACGCTCCTCGGAACGCCTCGGGTGTCCGCGGTGCCACCAGCAGCGAGCTGTGTCGCCGGCCCGAGCCATCCGCGCTCTTCTGGCACCAACGGCCAAGTCAAGCAGGTCAGGGGGCCGGGTGCTCGTGGCGCCGAGAAGCTTGACGCCGCCATAGCGTCCATAGAACGCGCGGTGAGCGACCTCCGTAACCCGGACCTACTATTTGGTCAGCTGGTGGGGTTGGAGATGGAGCGTGTGAGGGACGACAAGAAAGCGGATGCGAGACTGGAGATTCTTACAGTCTTGAAAAGGGCGCAGTCCGATTAAAAGCAGGTGATAACCTTCGCACGGGTGGGGGAGGGGGGACGTTTTTCACACATTTGATAAAAAATGACCAGAATGATTCAAAACGATCTTATAGCCAGACATGTGCATGGATCCGAGAGGTGGATCTATGATCTGAGCGGATCTCTCGAGCTTATGGGTAAGATCTATGATCTGAGTGGATCTCTCGACACAGTTGAGGGGTTGGATCTATGATCTGAGTGGATCTCTCGACAAAGTTGAGGGGTTGGATCTATGATCCGGGTGGATCCCAGATCTAGATTCATGGGATCGAATTTCAGATCCATTTTCCCGGATCCATGCACATGTCTGCTTATAGCGAGCTATATAATGCCTGTTCGGCGTCTTTCCAGCTTCCTTTGATTCTGAGATAATGTGATGCGGCCAAATGCGTCCCCTCTCCATGCAACCTCCACCATGGCGAACTTTGCTGAGCCTGAGTCATATTCTGCGTAGTGTGTATTTCCGCTGTCTGATCGCTATAGCGACCCTTTTTCAAGTTTTGATTTAGGAGTGAATTCGTTTACCTGGTGTTTAAATGTTTGAGCTCCTTTGCTGTGAAGTTGAAGTTGGACGTTACGTGGTTATCTGACTTTGGTTGTTGGAAAGGGCGACAGTTAATGTTATTTATTTCCACTACTTTCGCGTGCAATAAACGACAAAGGCCGGAAATGCTTGTATTTATATGACAGGTTTTTGAGCGTGACAAATGAAACAGCATTATCACACGGAGCAACACCAGTGGCGTCAAAGACGACTCAATTCCCGCCTCTCGCACCTCTCACTTGCCGACAGAAGCAGCCTGCTGCGGAACGGCTCCCCAGCCACGAAGTGACAGGCTTACACGCCCTCACTGCCCGACAGCAGCATCCTGCCAGGGGACGGCTCCCTCGGCCATGAAGTACCGGGCGAACTGGTCGCGGATGCGCTCGGCCTCCCGAGTGAAGTTGTTGGCGCCCAGCCTGCCCAGCTCGCAGAGTCCGCCCACCTGCTCGCCGCTGGCGTCGGCCTGCTGCGGCTGCTGGCTGTCCGCCTGTCCTTGGTCGCGCACGTAGTTGTGCAGGATGCACGCCGTCCTGACAATAGTGCAGGCGTGCTCAGGATTGACGTTCAGCGGACGCCGGAAGATGCGCCACGTCTGGGAGAGAATCCCGAACGCGTTCTCCACTACCCGTCGGGCGCGCGACAGCCGGTAGTTGAAGATGGTGGCCGGAGCTCCCAGCCGGCTCTCGGTACGTCCGGGATAGGGCCGCATCATGTGCACCGTCAGCGGGAAAGCTTCATCGGCGACGATGACGCTTGGTAGGGTCGTGCCTCTCTGATCGATCGCCTTGGGAGGGGGCAGGTCGAGAGTGCCGTCTTGCAGTTTGGCGGCTAGGTCACTCCTCCTAAAAATGCCCCCGTCCGACTCTCTTCCGGCGCTTCCCACTGACGTGTACACGAACCGATAGGCACCGTCCACGGCTGCCAGGAGGACGATGCTGAAGGACTTTTTGTAGTTATAGTACTCGCTGCCAGAGTTGGAAGGGGCTTGGAGTACCACATGCTTCCCGTCCAACGCGGCCACGCAGTTCGGGAAATTCCACTGGGTGCGGAAGATCTCCTCGCTTCGCTCCCACGTCGCCCTGGTGGGAGCTGGAAGCACCTCCGGTCCCAGTATGGCGATGATGGCCGCGCATGTGTCGTACACGATGGCACGCACGGTTTTCTCGCCGAGGCGATAGCAGGGTGCCAGCGCAGAAAACTCCATGCCGGAGGCCAGGTACCGCAGCGTCACGGCCAGGCGCTGAGCGGGGTCGATAGGTTCGCGGAAGTTGGTGCGCTGGCGCGTGATGCTGGGCCCGATCTTGGCGAGAAGCAGGTCGAAGGTCTCCCGACTCATGCGGAAGTAGGCATGGTGCCGGTCGGGATCCACGGCACGCAGCTCCTGCACCAAGTTAAAAAACTCGCCTCGGGCTTGTCGCCTCTGCAGCACTTCGGCAACCCAGTACCTGCGTCGGGCTCGACGGCGCTCCTGCTCCACCCGGATTCGAGTCGTGCTTAGTGCGATTCGTGCGATGTTTAGCTCCATGTCGTGAATAGTTAATTGAATAATGACGGACTTTTAGCTGATGTGAGAACAATAACAAACGTTGTTTACATTTCCGTCCCTGCTAAGAGATTGTATTGTCTTCAAGAACAATTTAATGAACCTTTTACGGTTCATATAAGAAACTGACACAAATTAAACCACGGTCAAAGGCGCAATTAATTATATAAATAATTATTATTTATCTGTCAGTGATGTGCATTACCACAAATTATATTACATTTTCATGCATTTTTTATCGAATTGTCCTTGAGCTATCATGGCGGATCCCGATGAAATCAAATTCATCGCATAGTCATCGTTAAATTAGGCGCCGAAAATGGTATTCAGCGCCTAAACGATTAGGCGCTGAAAGCGCGCCTAACCAGTGGACGGCGACCATAAGTCTGATGCCATCTCTCCTTTACTGTTTCTGACATATACTGAATAATTACGGAGCGAGCGAAGCGAGCGGAGTCTTTCCTTAGATTAACGGAAATTTCTGAGTATGAGCGGCCGGCCGGCCGGCCGGCCGTGGGGACGCTTTTCAAAAGCTAATATCTTAGGAACGGGACATCCGATTGACAAGCGGTCTTCTTTACTGAATGTCACTTGGACGTAAAAGTTCTGTGGTGTGATGGCCACCATGCGTTCTTGCCAACCACCGCACGTGGCGCGTGGTAAAGTTGGACATTTTTTAAGAACCCCCAAAATTGCAACCTCAATAACGGCACAACGGTTGGGCCGATTGAATTGAAACTCGGTAGACAGGTCTCCATCAGATAATTCATCTGCATGTGTTAAGGTTGGGGTGCTGCTGCACGTGCGCACGTGCAGGGGTCGTTTCCAGATCTCGAGAACGGCTGGACCGATGGCGCTCAAATTTGGTACACGGTTAGGGACCAGTTAGTAGGGTGCCGTGCACAAGTCAGTTGGGACCCATTTTGCACGTGCGCACGTGCAGGGTGCCGCTTCCAGATCTCGAGAACGGCTGGGCCGATTGTGCTCAAATTTGGCACATCGCTAGAGACCGGTTAGTAGGGTGCCGTGCACAAGTCAGTTGGAGGTACCCCCTCGAAATTTCGCACGTGCAAGGCCCACCCTCTCGCTCGCTCCGTTAGTCGCCCCATAAGGCGTTATACTGGTTTTTATGAACTCGTATCCTCCTTTGTTTTGATAAACTTACTTCATCCCTTTCCCTCTGTTACCCAACTCACTCTCTTTATACAGGAGCTGTCGCTGGACTGTTTCAACCCAGCCAACGGCGAGACGTGCACGATTGTGACGAAGCCGACGATAGCGGCGGACGTGTCTCTGTCGCTACTGAAGCGAGACCTGCAGCCGGTGGCTGAGATAGGCGACCTGCGCGTCAAACGCCGCAAACTGATGCACGGCGTGCTCATCGTCAAAGGCAACGTAAGTGGTCGGTGGCCGGGGAAATCAAGGGTCTATGACGGTTTTCGGGCTGAGACACCGGTGGGCGTTTTGGGGATGAGAAAGATGATGGTAAGAATTGAACTCGTATCCTGCGATCACATGATTATGATGTCTCCAGCGTTATCCAAAGTATGTATTGTGAATGACATGTAGATATTGATTATCTACAGGAGTATCCTGGGAGAGTTAATCGGTGTTGACTTTGTCATTGTAAAATGCGTGTACCCGTTAAAAAATCATCACTAGAATTGAAGTGGGATCGAGCCATGATGTTCCATCTACACTGATGTTCGATAGGTAATCATCCAGCCCCTGCACCTATGACATAAAACCTGTAGCGTGGCTAGAAAGCTGACGGATATGCAGTGTCAATAAACGTGTGTGTGACATACGTTTGCACTTTCCGCGTGTTACAGAAGGTGCGTGTGCTGGACAGTGACGCGGCGTGCGCGGAACTGGGCGTGACGCGTCACGAGATCCGCTTCACGTCGACCGTGACGCTGGAGGACCCGGGACCGGTGTCACGCACCATCGATAAGCTGCACACCCACCTACAAAAGTGAGCAAATGGGAGAACAATATGGACCCCTAGTAAGAGGAGGGAGCAATTATACACCTTTCTTCAGAAATGAGCTGCGGGAGACGAGGAGGTTGTACTGAAACGTACATGTAGACGCACCGATTGCGGTTGTTGATAGCTGCTCTGCTGATGTTGACTTAACGCCAGTAACGACGGTGTTGAACTTCTACGATGTTTGATGTGCTGATTTAAAGCTTTTATTCACCGTGCTCCTGGTTGCCAACCATAGGTGCCGGCAACCATAGGTGCCGGATGTGTTGTTAAACAAATAACCCGTCATATATGATTCACCCATCAGTATATTCTAGTATATTCACCTAGTATATTCACCTGTTTTTTTTAGTATACGTCAGTGTGTGACCGGTTCGTGTTCCCTTCTTTGACAGGCGCCTGGGTATAACGCAGCACCTGGGTGACGGTCCAATCAACATCGGTTCGGTGCTACTGCAGGTGTCCGGCTCCGACCAGGAGGACCTCAAGGAGGCCATCGTCTCCTGGACCTACCAGGTGCGTCGTACCACGCTGTCAGTGGAGGGCGGTGAACAGAGTACTACTTTATGTACAGGGTGTCTCAAAAGTTCGTTTACACATTTCCCATGTCAATAAAGCATATAAGAACCGGCCAAAAATCTAAGGTTTTGGTGTCCGTGTGTACACTAGACAAATATGCATCCTTTGACAACTGATTCGGAAGGTTGGAAACCAAACCCTTTGCTGTATCTCTAAAAATATTTGCCCATACCGATTTTCGTCAATCCGTCAGCTGCCGGAGGCTGATAAAAGGTTACCAGCTTTCAAGCTCTTGTAGGGGAATCCCCTGCAGTTTCTGCGTCGGATTTAGGTTTGACGAGCTCCCCGGCAACATCCGCTTCTCCCTGAAAGCCGACAGCTTGCATCGACACCATCCGTGAGTATTTTGTAGGTCTTCTCTGGCGCTAACTCCTTCATGAATGACTGGCGCCGACCTCCCAGGCACCATTTTCCTTTTCAAAACAACTCCATTCCTGAACAAATGGGAAGGGCCAGGGGCAAATTTTTCGCAGCATATCGTAGCAGAATGTGTCGGCCATCTGTTTCTTAGACACATTTTGCAAATTTTGCAAATCCCGAACGCTCGTCATTACCAATGCCAAGACCTTCGCTGGGTTCCGGGGTGTTTTCCTCAGGAGAGGTTCTGCTTTGTAAACGGCCAAAACCTGTCCATCGTGCGGTTTTGTCCGGATTTTATGTGTAAAAGAAAGCTATTTGCTCCAGATCTGCCTCTTGAAACTTCGTTAGATAAAACTTTACATTAATTGACACTTTTGGAGGGTCACTTGTCCTCGGCATTGACGATTTTCGCATTATTTTCCCTCAAAATTTAACGTTATAGATATTATAAACAATTTTAAATGATATTTTGTCTTTATTTTATGATGACCTGCAATTTTTGAAACTGGGTAACCTCTGTCTGTGAGCTTCTAGTCAGTTTTCAATAGTTAGGACTGCATTTTCAGCTGCTTTCCGGAGCACGAGTCTGCTGCGGTACAAGGGTCGTTCAAAGCGCTGTTAGTCTCGCATGGTTTTGTCCTTCAAAAATTTTAGCCACCGTTTTTATTAGATGACCATCATGTTGTACTCATCCTCGACGACACTTTGCCATGTGTTATTTCGGACCTAACTATTCCCATTACTCGTGAAGCAGAGAGTTTCTCAGCCGACCCGAGTATGCGACCTCCATTTTCATGCCTGATCCATTGTCAGAGGTGAACCCTTTTTGTGAGCTCATGAAGCGTCGAATGCGCTTGAAAACAATGAAGCTGCTTGAGGAAGGTTGTTACCAATGCCCATGCAATATTTCGACCGTTAATTTCTTGTTGATTCAGAATTATTGACAAAAAAGCATGGCTGGTACCTGTAAACGAAGTTTTGAGACACCCTGTAGACATACCCACCTCACACCAACTTTAGATTAACTTCGTGTCCAGACTATATAGCATGCTATAGCGATGAATTTATTTGTACGCTCACTCGAGCTCAGGCTACTCCCCGGTTCGACTATGACTAGCATTCTTACCGATTTTTTTGTGGGAATGGTTGTCGTAGTCTTAAACTTAAATTGTTGGTCTTTGGCTTCACCATCCCTAACGCCATCATTTCTGCTAACCAAGTGCAGTTGAAGTGCCGCCATTTGTCACACGCTCACCAATTACAGCTTTGCAGCTGTAGTTGTGTTTGTGGTGCAAGTTCCAGTCACCCGTTGGATTGTATTGACCTTTTCCCTATTCACTTTGTGCGGCGTCCAGCAGTTAACACTGCCCGTATCGACTTTTCTCTGTGAGCGGCCAACACCTCTGCTGGATGGCGTCCATTGATGTCCAAACTACCAAGCACACCGTCGGAATGTCCCCCCTCGCCCACATACACGCACACAAGAACTCATCGATCACCATCATACCGCTCTACGTCGATCATCGACCGGTCGCACGCCAGTCTGAGTTCTGTGCCGCCGGTCCAGCAGGGGTCTATGTGCGACCGTTGGTCCGGCAGTGGCTTGCTGATATCGTCTGTCCGGCGGGGGTCTGTCTGTGCCGGTCAGGGCCTTCGGTGGTCTGTATGGACCGTCGGTCCGGCGGGCTTTGTGTGGGATTGTCGGTCAGGCGGTGGTCTATGTGGGTCCGCCGGAGGGGTCGCTGACCTGTCCGCCGTGGCTCGAACGATTCACGGCAGGGAGTGTCACGCAGGTCGCGGTCGTCAATAGCGCCTAGTTTGTTACACGAGTCGATTGTCTGTTGAGGTCGGATGACAATCAGGCATGAGGGTCTTGCCGGTGTGTTCAGGTCTGAAAGTTGGGTCAATCTCTACCCCCTCGATTTCTACTAACTTCATATGGAGAAATCTAACGCCTTTCGCCATTTCCTTTATCAGGCCTTTCCTCGAGTATTGGTGGCACGCCTTTTCGGAATCAAACATGCATGAAATGAGGCTTGCGTTTCTATTTAATGTTAGTCGTATGAAATCCGTCCGTTTTAAGTGCTCATTCCCTCCGATTGTTTCCCGATCCGGCCACCGTTTGTGTGCGCCCTTGGTAGGGGGAAGGGGAGGGAGGGTATTGTTACCTCGGCTCCTATTTCCCGGCCGGCCGTGTGTGCGTGCGTGGACGAAGGGGATGGGAGAGGAGGGAGTGGGTGCTGTGAATGTGACCTGCCGATCCATACGAGTGGTCCGATACTGACACCGACACCACTGCCGCCGGCGCCGGCGCCGGTCTCGGGCGTCAGAACGCTAGCAGGTCTGATTCATGACTCATGAGTCTACATGAGCTTACATGGGTCTTTAGTTTACATGAGTCAAGGGAGGGAATGGGATTGATTGGTCTATGCTTCACAGTCTACACTCTTCTGAGTGCTCTCTGCATTTAGGTATTGCTGCCCTCTGACAATTAAACGCCGTAAGTTTCTTTTTATCTGAGAGCACCTAATTCGTGTGTGTAAAAAATGCGATCTTTCAGAGCCTTTGCTTGAAAGATGCTAGGAAGAGGAAGTTCCTTCACTTCCCCTCTTTCGTTAACATTTGTGCCAGCTTAATAGCCACACCTCCAGGCAATTCCATTTGCAAGTTTGTGTATCATTTCCGTGTGATGCATGGAGCGCACCTGCCAAATTTCTGTGCTTCTACTCATTTATTTATTCAGCATGCAGGTGCAAGATTACCGTACAAATCGTGCAGGTGTTGACGTCCAAAGCCTTCCGGTCCCTGACCCCTGTCGTTGTTTCCGCCAGGACGATGCTCTGGGCAGCTACATTCTGAACAGTATCAAGAACATTGACCGGTGACGCTTCGGCGGTGAGCTCTATCGTTCGTCTCGCCCATCTCACCAGATGTCACCTAGCGCGTTCTCACCGGCTCTCACCACTGGCGTTCTCACCAGCTCTGACCACGGGGTTATCAACACCTCTCACTGAGCATGCGGCCGATTCGACCGCTTTGTGACCGGAATTGCTCCACCATTAGTGGTCTGTGTGACAGATCATGAACTCATTGATCTGTTGACCATTCGTGATCGATGATAAACTTCAACTCCAAATCACGCAGTCGCGGCCATGAAAGGAGTGGTGTGGCTCATCATCGGCTTTGGAGATGATAATGGGTTTGATTGTTCGAATGTGATGGTTTCGAAAGTCGTCACGGTTACTTGCCGTGACTGACTACCCCGTGATGTGACCTCGTTACTGTCGATGATGCGCGCTGAGTGCTGAATATGTTCAGTAATGCCCCTTTCACAAGCAAGAAAACGACTTCCTGTGGGGGTTACCGTGCGAGCGAGCACCACCACCTTTATGCTAATCTGACTGTGGGTTTGCTCAGATCGATCACAGCCTTCTGGCGACAGAACCCAGCCGAGCCAGTCTGGTGGTTCTCATTTGCTGTGACGGTGTGCTGACGTGAGTCTTGTCTTTGAGTATGTTCGCTGCGCTCGATGACGCGTGCTTGTACGGAAATGGTGATACGGAAATGGGAGAGTGATTTTGGTACGAACTGATTGATGTTTTTGTCAATGAAACCTGTAGCCTCCAGGCGTCTCCAAAACTCGGCAGTCTGGTGGTGCAAAACTCGTGCAACTTGATAGTTGGCCTCTGTATTGTGACTCCAGCTTCACAAGCATCCAAGCAGGCCAAAGTAAGCAAGTAAGCAAGGTTTCTGAAAGGATACATCAAAATTAATAAAGCAGAAACGAAAGACAAACAGGGCAATGGGGGGGGGGGGGGCAAACACAGAACTCAAGACGAATATGGCGCGGCCAAGGTCAAGGTCGTACGAGTGTCGCTCTCCCACTGCAATCAAATCGCCTTAAATGGCCTGAACACTGAGAGAATGTTTCTGGCCTTATAACAGACAAACTTATTCAGTGCTGCACTGCAATCCTGCAGAATATTCGCGATTAAACACATACGCAAAAATGGACACAAATCGGCGCATTTCTCAGATCCAGTTTGTAACAATGCAGCGCAATGAATACTAATATTGATAACAATTAAGCGTCTCTTTATCGCTAGAGACGATAACACTCACCAACATTATCCACCTGCAGACATATTCTTCACGCCTGAACGCTATCGCCTTCTTATACTTCAAACGCTTTCCAAGAACCAAAATGCGGCATGAAATGGGCGGTTACCAAATCTGACGTGTTGGCGTATGAGTACCAGCACTATTTCCAGTACCACACTAAGTACCGTGTCCATTATAATAGGTCTTTCTCTGAATGCAAAAGGCTCCTATGCATCACATGAGATATCACGCGAATCATAAATTTAACGCATTTTAACATGAGTATTTGGCTAACCATTCGACACGACGCAATTCCACATTCACATTCCACATTACACAAGTACCAACTCTTTAGTGCCCTGCAAGTACCAAAGTACCAATCAGCGTCTCAACCCGTGCTCCGTGCTGCCCCCTACCTCTGGCTGCAACCAGACAGCAGAGCCCTCTACTGGCTCTCCGTTTCCTACAGCTCGCTCAACAAGACGGGCCGATGGGCTCACAATGGGACAGGAAAGGACAGGAGAATATAAACCAAAACCAAATGGAGACCATAAACGCTTCCGGCGTTTACACCCTCCTCCTTGAATCATCTCCGATTCAACACTGCACTCTTAAATAAAAATGAACTTCGTCTTCCTCAGCCACGTAGTGCTCAGTCCTCGCCGCTCACGAGCTTCACCAGCTTCGACACTGGTCGACGGAACGTTGAAGTTCCTCTTCTCACCACTACTTGCCTCACGAGACCTTTCTGGTCCTTCGTCACTTCAGCAACTTTTCCAAGTGGCCACTGGCCTCTCGGGAGTGTCTCGTCCATCACCAGGACCACATCTCCTGGTTCCAGGTTTTTTCGGACACTGTTCCACTTCTGCTTCCTTTGGAGGAGCGGCAAGTACTCCCGCCTCCACCTCGTCCAGAAACAGTCCGCGAGATACTGCATTTTGCGCCATCTCTTACCATGCAGGTCAAATTCGGAGAAGACTCCAGGCGTGACATGACCTCCGCGAAAAAGCAGCAAGTGGTTCGGTGTAAGCGGCTCACAATCTCTCGGGTCTGCTGACACCGTCGTCAGTGGTCTACTGTTCAAGATACTCTCGATCTCACACAGTAGAGTGGTGAGGCCGTCGTCGTCAAGGGTGTGGCTGGTCAGGAGGGAATTGAGTATCTTCCTGATGCTCCGAATGTGCCTCTCCCAAACCCCACCGAAATGGGAGGCTCCTGGGGGGTTAAAAATCCAGTCAATCTTGCTTTCAAGCAATTTCTTGTGTACGCGATCTTGTTCTAGGTGCTCAAGTTCCTTGCGAAGCTCCTTTTCGGCTCCGACAAAATTTGTCCCGTTGTCGCACCTGATCATCCGGACTGGCCCTCGTCTCGCTGTGAATCGTCGTAACGCATTAATAAAAGAATCCGTTGACATTGAGTCCGCCAACTCAATATGGATGGCTCGAGTGGCTAGGCAAGTAAAAATTACCCCGTACCGTTTGACCGAGGCTCTGCCCCTCTTCGTCACAAACGGACCGAACAGATCAACACCGACACTGCTGAAAACCGGCTGATCTGGAGTTACCCTCTCTGGGGGCAGATCTGCCATCTTCTGTTCTTCTGGTCGTGCTTGCCGTCTTATGCAATGCTTGCATTGCCTCAGGACCCGGCGCACTTCCGAGTTGCCGTGAATCAGCCAGAAAGTTTCACGTAGCGCCGCCAATGTATGTTCTCTTCCTTGATGGCCCACCTGTTGGTGAACATGCCGTACAATCAACTCTGAGACAGGGTGGCGTGCGGGCAGTATGACTGGATTTCTTGCTTTGGAATCCAGTGGGGCCATGGCTAAACGGCCACCGACTCTCAATAGTCCGTCCTCTAGCATGGGATCCAACTGCCGCAGAGGACTTCTTCTCTTCACCGCCCGGTCCACTGGATCTTGCCTGGTCTCTCCATCAGAACACTGAGGCTTCAGCGCTTGTAGTTCCGATGCGAACGTACTCTCCTGCACTCGCCGGAGAATGGCTTTTTCCGCTTCTTCAAGTTCGGCCACTGACAACCGACAAGCAGACCTTTCCCTATCCCGAGCCTGGGATCGAGTGACCGGTCCTTCCCTTGCTGCTCCTGTCGTCATTCTCTTCGCCATCAGGTACTTCTTGAAGCGCAGCAACCATGCCACTGCCTTTGTGAGTCTGAGCCAGTCTGAATAGTGGTACAGAAGCCGATCTGTCGGATTAGGCTGTGCGTCCTCAGCAAAGCAGACCGAGCCAACCACAGCAGGCCGAATCACATCAGCATCTCTTGTAGCTTCTTGTGTGTCTTCAAGTCCTTCAGGCGGACGAGGCCACTCAGACTCTTCTTTCCCCAGAAAAGCTGGACCATGGAACCACCTGTTGTTCTCTAGAAGATCACCCGCCATAAGCCCTCTCGAGGCGTCGTCCGCTGGGTTATCTTCCGACTTAACGAATCTCCATTGCGCTGGTGCAGATTCGTCCCTGATAACCGCCAACCGGTTCGTGACATACGTCTGGTATCTTGTCCCCTCGTTGTTGATGTACCGTAACACTGTCGAACTATCCGTCCAAAAGGTAGCATCGTCTATAGGGATCTCAAGTTCCTTTGTGATCATCGCATGTAGTCGCACTGCAACTGTTGCGGCAGCCAGCTCCATTCGAGGTACGGTCATCTTCTTGAGCGGCGCGACCCTCGACTTCGCCATGAGGATCATACAGTGTACCTGCCCTTTGTCATCCGTCTGACGCAGGTATGACACTACACCATAACCCACTGTGCTCGCGTCGCTGAAGTGATGTAGCTGTCTTGAGACGATCGATCCTAACCTCGCTGGCTTCAGACACCTTGCCACTTCCAACGCTTCCAGCTTCGGCAGGTCCTTTAGCCACTTGGTCCAGATCAGAGCTTGACTTTCCGGGACGTCTTCATCCCAACCAAGTTTCATGGCGCACAGCTCCTGTAGGATCTTCTTACCAGTAAGAATGAATGGCCCCACAAAGCCCAAAGGGTCAAACACTCCACTGATGACAGAAAGAATCTCTCTTCTGGTCACTTTCATCTCTCTTGCCCTGACACAGAAGCTGAAGGTATCCTGCTCCAGGTTCCATTTGATACCCAGTGCTTTCTTGACGCTTGTCGCTTCTTCCAAGTGAAGTCCTTTCTTAGAAGAACCTTCGTCTCGATCTTCTTTCGGTATCTTGTCGAGAACTCCTTCCCTGTTGGACACATACTTGTGCAGATGAAAACCTCCTTTGGCGCACAGAGCCTGTACCTCTGACGCCAGCGACTTCGCCGTCTCGATTGACGACACCGACTGGAGACAGTCGTCCACGTAGAACGCCTTCTTGACAGTCTCCAGTGCCTTTTCACTGAAGTCATCCTGGTGGTCTTCGACAGTCCGTCTTAGCGCGAAGTTTGAGCAGCTTGGGGATGAGACAGCTCCAAATATGTGGACGGTCATGCGGTACTCCTTTGGTTCTTCGTTGATCTCGCCCCCAGGCCACCATAGAAACCTCAACAGATCTCTTTCAGACTCTGGAACCTTTACTTGGTAGAACATGGACTTCACATCTGCCATGAAGGCTACTGGTTCTTCGCGGAAGCGTAGTAGGACTCCAACTAAGGAGTTTGCCAGATCTGGGCCTTGCAAAAGCTTGTCGTTCAACGACACACCGTCAGACTTAGCCGCACAATCAAACACAACCCTAATCTTGTCAGGCTTGTGAGGGTGGTAGACTCCATGGTGGGGCATGTACCATACCAGCCCATCCGCTCTTCCTCGGCTCTCCTCGGGCACCTCCTCGGCGTAGCCCTCTTCTAGCACGTTGTTCATGAAAGTAGTGTAGTCCTCTCTGAACTTCGGCTGCTTCTCCATCTTCTTCTGGATGGTGGAGAGTCGCCGCAGCGCCATGTTCCTGTTGTTTGGCATCTGAGTGTCCTTGTCTCGCAGAGGAAGACCTATCTCGTAGTGTCCTTCCGTGAACGTGATGGTTTCCTCTACCTTCTTCTGCCACATCTTGTCTTCAATCGAAGGTCCTTTCGAGCTGTCTGAGAGTTTCTCAGTAAACTCTGCGTTGTACATCTGGATCATCATGTCCTCGATGTCTTCAACGTTTTCTACTTTGACTCGGTTTGCCTTCACCAGCCCTCTTCCTTCATGTCGAACAGGACCGTTGATAGCCCATCCCAAGAGTGTCCTGGTGGCAAAAGGCCCTCCTCCCTGGCTATGGATCACCTCCCACGGCTCCATCGCCAGTGGGACATTGTTGCCTATCATCAATTCGACTGGTGCATCCAAGCTCGACAGATTCACACCACTCAGGTACGGCCAACGGCTGACATCTTCTTGTCTTGGTATGTCGTTCACATCGACCGGTACCTTCTCTAGGCTGTAGACTGCTGGCAGCTGGAGGGTATGCTGTCCATCGATGTCACCTACTTCGAGCCCAGTGATGATCTGACTCTCAATCTCGACTTGATCCTTGCAAACTGTTGTCAGGGACAGCTTCTTCTTACTCTTGTTCTCGAGTCCCAGCTTCTGCAGC